AGTCACTTATTCGAAGTGTGTTGAGAAAACGATCCACTTTTATCGCTGAGAGGGCACTACTTCATCCCTTTTCACCAAATCTTTATTTGAAATAACTCATTCTTTAAGACATTCGACAAGGTATTTATCTTCTCTCATGATTTGTTAAATTGGTAGCGATATGCTTTATTCTTTGTTTTCAGTAGAGGTTATTCTCACAATTTTTTTGGATCTTTCGCGAAAACTACCTTCGAAGACGAATATAAACTTCTGTGCACCATTCTAATTAATCAATTAAGCTTTTAAGTCAACCTCTTGTTTTATTTATGTTTGCTTAAGCCGATCCTATTAGCTATTGTGATGATTTTACGACCCTCACACCGAAACGGGAAAATCCATTTAAAACGTCTCGGTGCCCACACGACTGTACGAAGGATTGGCCTTTTTGAGGAATTTTAAACAGTGGAGAACTTAGTGTTTTGTCAGCTTTATTTTAAATGTGAGACTTCATTGTTACAAAATCCTCCTTTTTCCAGTCCCTCGGTTTTGGATCGTCTGAACAGTTTGTTGGAGCCAGGCGGTGACCTTCTGATCAGCGAACGTGGACTTGATGCCAATGGCGATCTTGTTCGCTTGAAGCCACATCCTGATTTCAGACTCATCCTCGTTGTTGATGAGGATTCTGTATCGGGTTGCAAAAACATCTCCAGAGCTATGCGCAATCGCGGGGTTGAGATGTTTTTAACTCAAGATGTAATTGTTATCCTTGTTAACTTGATGTTGTTCGTACTGAACTAACTTTTCCAATGGTGAAGGGAGCATTGAAAATGGAAATGTAACATTGGTTGAACATTTCTTTTAGGTCCGTCACCTCGAAATTTTCATACAGCATTTGGCAATATTAGTCCTGTTCGGAGCTCATTGATTTTTTTGGTTGTATTCCCCATTAAATGTAGGAGTTACTTCTTTCACTAACTATCAATTCATCTTAATTATTGGTGCGCTCTTGAAGTGTTGAATTACTCTATTTTCATTACCTGCCTAGCAATATTATGATATGTGTCTTCGTGCATTCTCAATGATTATCTTTTTTGCACTGTAGATGGGAAGCATGCTTCCAAAAAGGGAAAGTGTGTAATGTGCAAACATCTTATTTTACCATCATATACTTTCGATCTAGCTGTTGCTCTGTCCCATTTGGGTGACGATAGCCATGACTTCTTAAGCGAGAGCGGTTTGCCTTTGCTATAATGATCAAAATAATTTTATTGCTGCTTTCCTGTTGCTATGATTTCATTTCTCTTCTGCTGGTCTGTTGCGTCTGTTCACTGATTTGTGAAAATATTAGTTCGTGGAACGATTAGTTCACTCCATGCGGCAAAGTGAATTGGAATTGAATAGGAGATTTGCTGTTGGTTTGGTAATTTAGAAGAGGCTGACCTTTTTATTTTGCCTGTCCACTGCAGTTCGCCTTAAGATCTCCATCTTGATTTATTGAGAACATTACCGTAGACATTATGCTCAAGTTGGTACCCATATTTCAAAATTTACTGTATCAGCGATTGGTTCCGATAGTTTGCCTCATTTACGTAGTTGACTACGTGACGAAAGTATCCGATTCGCTGTGTTCATCCTTTTTGGTTTCTACTTTCTTCAGTTGACCGTTGCAAAGGACGACTTGCACCGCCTCCTTCGCAGCACCGGCCTTTCTGCCAATGCGGTGGCAGCCCTCCTAGCTTTTGAAGCCTCGTCGCTAGAACGCGTGCATGCCACACCCATCGTTCCACTTCCTCCGCGTAGACCTCCCGTCGGTGCACTGCTCTCCGCTGCCCGTATGATCCAACAGCTGTTGTCGTCACACGGAAAAGAAGACCTCTTCCCTGCTGTAGGCTGCGACTCAAAGGCAGATGAAGCTATGGCATGGATGAGCAAATGGCGTGGGGATGTGTGGAAACGTGCCTTTGCTAAGGCCCTCATGGATGTCTATGCTAGGCGTCAGGCAAATAAGAAAGTTGCTGAGGTTGGTTAATATTTGTTCTGCACGTGCGTATTAGCTTTGTGAGATAAGTTGCACTGCAAGAGTTGCATAGATACATGGCATAGGGAACAGAACTATATGTATTATGTAGCAAATGGCATTTGACAGTGCTTCTGTCTTACTGTGTAGATATGAATCTTTGAAATCGAGAAAAGTGCCAAATCAGAGTTAAAAATTTGACAATTTGCAAAATGGGGCCATTTAATTCCTTATTTTTCTAAACCAAACGTTGATTTAATTCGTTTTGATCATTACCTTTTGATAAGCCAACAATTCTCTTTCACTCGTTTTTTTTGCACATCAAGGGAACTTGTTCTTAGCTCAGATAAGCAATCAAACAAGTACAGTTCTACGGATTTATTAGATCTATTTTTAGACTGAAATTCGGTGCCATATTTTTACGACACCGAGTCCATTTCTCTTCAGCTCTTCACCAAAACCATTTGCGAATTTGTGGATACAGAATTGTCATCCCTCCTGAATTCCGAACATACTTCTATTCTGCCGCGGCTCAACCGTCCCAGTGAACTCCTTTCTCTCACTTCACTACTACTGGAGCAGTGGCGGTACGCCCTTCGCTGTGTTTTGACACGCTCCCCACCAGATTTATGTGAAGAATTGTACTCCCTTCTCATCCGTTTCTCCACTGAACGGGGCTTTATAATTATGCCCTCTAACCCACAACCGCAATCTGTGGATGAATTCCTTGAAACCGTCTCAGACGTCGTTGCCTTAGATAAACGCTGGATTCCTGGATGGCGTTGTCTTGTTGATGCTGATACTGTGGACCTTACTACCTGGAATCATCGAATTCTTAATGCTTTTTTCCACCAATTTGATGCAGCCCGCGCCAAAATTGTTAGCGCAAGTGAGTCTCTCACTTTCAATGACAAGATGTCTGTTGTCTGTGCTCTTGAGCAGTGTTTAAAGGGCAACGTCCCCCTCAACTTCTTTGAGGCTTACCCAGGCTTAGCCAGTCTCGAAACGGATTTTTGCTCTTCCTACACCAATCTTCAGGAGTCATTTCGTTCCCAGGTTCGGTCAAACCTTGATTTTTACGCTTTCATTTGTGCTCTCTCGAAACTCGAAGCTTGGTTACAGCATTTTGGCTGTCAACCAATTGGATCACCTTCCGATTGGTTAGAAAGAAGAGAGTTTTTCAGCCGCTATTGTACGCCTTTATCCACTACTCCTCCTTTGACACGGATGATGGAACTGATTCGCCGCCATCTTCCTGCGCCACTTCCTCAAACATTTTCTCATCCTGTTAGGCTTAACCTCGGCCACATTTCATGGGCTCAACTGGCTCTTGAGGTTCAAAATCAAGTACTCTATTACCTCAACCCTCACGATATTGGGGTAAACGAAGTAGTTGACACAAACACCGCTTGCTCAACTTCGTCGGAGGATTTAGAATCGGTGCGCTTGTGGCCAGTACTTGCCGCAGGTTTGGTCTTCAGTCGAAATGATGATATATCGATGACATCGTGGTCACCAAACTTATCTCTTTGTTTGCGAGTGGAACTGGGTGTGCAGCTGGGAGCCCTCTCACGCCCCCGCTTACTAGAACTTTTTACGTTGGCGTCGGGGAAAGCTTGCGGCAATTTCACAAATATAGTTCTCCCCAATCGCGCCTATTCTCTCGCGTTATCAGAATCTAAAGGTCTTGTGGAGGTATGCTAGGCGAGCGATTTGGAATTGATGCCCTTTTAGCCATCAGTTTTCTTTCCATCATATTGCTGGTTCCATTTTAGCCCGATTTGGTGTGCGAATGGCGGAGCCTTTCACAAGCAGCATTGGTAGTGAATAACACAGACACAGCTAATTGCTTCAGTGGTGGACCTAATTGTTCGTTTGCCGATTGGATTTCTAATCAGCAGATGTTTCCCGATCACTTTCATCTTCTTATGTGCCTTGGTCCGTCATCCACTCGGCGACAGAGGATCTTCCACCAATGCAGCGAGTTAGTTGCGATTTTTGGGTCTCGTAGTTTATCTTAAGCTTGAATGTTCCATTTACGAATCCATTTGTTTTTTTTTATTTCA